CTGCTCAGAAGCTTAACAACTGGTTCTCCCGAAGTGGTGCGAACTGGCTGAATCCCACCACTGGCTGCTACCGATTCGGATAGTTTTGGCCCAACAGGTAGTGGTTTGGCAACCTGGGTTGCTGGAACCGGTAGTGACCCAGGCCTGCCACACCGCAGAACCGGTTTTCCGGCTGCGCCATAGGCGCCACCATCTTATTTTTCGCTTCTGCACATACGCAGAACAATTTTTATTGCACTGTGCATGCGCGCATCAAGCGTGGGCGCAACATGCCCACAAACGAACCGGCAGTAGTGCCTGATGGAACCCACCCCCAATCCACACATCTTGAAGCAGCCAACTCAAAGAAGACAGTTCAGTATGCAAAAGAGGGACTTGTCAGCAATTTATACTGTAGGTCCTCCCAATTATACAGACTCTGCTTGGAGGGACGTGATGTGTCAACTTCTCCATTCATGTCTCAGTTGCAGAAAGAACTATTGCTCGACTTTAGCACCTGCCTTCCTCATTTCACTCTACTCTTCTCCTGCCCAGCTGAGAAAATCAAAGCTAGACTCTATCCTAATCTATATATTGGAGAGATATTGGGATGCTCAATGGGTATCCTGTGCAAGTCAAGATATTTCCGTTCTAGATGCTGAAGTCTTCTACAATATTTCTCCAAGAAATGTTATTTCAGCCACTTCCATGGGCCTTTTCCCATGGAAAAAGTTGAAGGGCCCTCCATTCATCCTTCAGCAGAAAGCTATACCCATGAAGTGGACTGCCCTTCTTTGCTGATGGCTATCCTCTCAATTCTCATTTGCTTCACCCTTCCAAGATCATTGATGGGGAAAAAAATTGGCAGATTCTACACACCTTGAGGTTGGACTTGGATGGTGTCAGAATAGGGGGGGGGGGCATGCTATTTTAACACCAGTACAGTTAAGGATGCCCTACATCTCTTCTCTCTCTCCAATGATTGAGAATGAGTTGAAGGCAACCTCATGAGGGCAAAGCAGAAAAATAGAAGTTACGTGCCACAATTAGATCCATGTAGGAAAAAGTCCTCCTTTTTGGAATGTCCTCAATGTGTACTGGATTGCAGTAAAGTTGGTTAAGGTTTAAGGGATGTGCCCCAAGGACCACCTACCACACTCCCACAATCCATCTATATTTCTCGGACCATAGGTTGGGAATCATGGATTTAAAATCTGCTATAAGCCTTAATATCAAGGAAAGCCATCAAAAGACAATACAGAAAGAAATAGTAACAGCAGGATAACTGCAGTAACTACATTTCACAGAGCAAAAGGAGATAACAAACCCAGATTGTTTTGTTATGAAAACAGAGCAAAAATGTCTCAGCGAATTGCAAATGAATATCGGAAGGCTACTGCAGAATCAGGAAGGCCTCCAAGGAGAATTACAGCACCCAGGCAGATACACCTAGGGGAAACTGTTTTTCCAGATGTCTTTGTCCCAATTTTGGAATCTCTTACCTGCAGAAGCTCAACTGCTGATTGTTGGCACTTCTCCTTGACTGTCTGGATAAGTTCATCAAAAGTTGAGACTTCCCGGAATAAGACGGCTGCATGTTTAGCCTTTTCCCACATTATTCCCTTCTCTAAGTTTTCAATAACTCTAAGCAGCAGAAAGTGCTCTTGTTGTTCCAAAAACTGACGTATTCCATTAAATTCAGCTATGACAAATTGTCTCTCTTCTTCTAATTGTTGCTACAAGCAGCAGATGGAAAGAGGACAAATCAGCTTGGAAATGGCATTCGGCATTAGACACAAGACACCAGTTAGATGCCACAATGACAATTATGCAAACAATTCAAAGTAACACACTTTGTGATATCTGTGTGATGTTGTCTCGATGGGCATGTCACCATGAGAATAACTGTTTGTAAGGTACAGCATAAATTAAACAAGAGGCGCAAATTCACAAAATATACCCCTCCCTTTGAAGTGAGATTGAGAAAGCAGATCCAAGGGCCAATAGGTTTTCTTCATTTGAAAACAGAGTAAAGGTAGTCCTCGATTTAACAACAGTTGATTTAGTGACCATTCAAAATTACAATGGCACTGAAAAAAGTGACTTATGACCGTTTTTCGCATTTATGGCCATTGAAGCATCCACATGGTCACGTGATCAAATTTTGGATGCTTGTCAACTGGTTCACATTTATGATGGTTGCAAGGTCCTCGAGTCACGTAATAACCTTTTGCAACCTTCTAATAAGCAAAATCAAAGGGGAAGTCAGATTCACTTAATACTTTGTGTTACCAGCTTAACGACTGTAGTGATTCACTTTACAAATCTGGCAGCTGGACTGAGTTTGTTTTTCCTTGAAGTTGTTTCACTTCTCCTCCAAGATTTTTCAGTTCAGTTCTTCAGAACTGAAGAAGCTTCTTAGATGAGAAGCAAAGCATCTTCAAAGAAAAACCAAGTAAGTCCAATTGCCTCTTGAAAAAGCACCTTTGGGATAACTTGGACAGAACAAC